ATTTTGCCACATTGTCTAATGAAATATGCAGCCATTTTCAGAATTTTTCATCACTGAAGCAGTGCATCTGAAAATGCACAACTCTGTTTAAGCAGTCAAAAATCTACCCTCAGTTTAAATCACTAGGAAGTTGAATCATGTGCATCACTGATTCATCACCTCCATAGTCACAAAGGTGGAACTTTCCCTGACGGCTCCCTGGTTTGATGACGCCCTATAAAAACATCTGTTCCAAGTGATGATACCCTCATTTGTACAGTTCTGCCATTTCACAAGAAAGAAATCTGCTGCAAGAGGCATTTTAACAGCTCCAGTTTGATCCCCAGAAAAGCCAACGTTGATAACTCACTTAAGCAAAGCAGCTAAAGAAAAGACTCTTGGGTCTTGTTTTTCATTCCAATGAATGGTCAAAATTTGCTGCTACTCATTACAGAGGATTTCATTAGCTGTGTGCTTTTATGGGCAACCAGTAAAATTTAATGTACTGTTTTCCATAATTTATGTCCTTTCTGATTATACCCTTTCCACCTTCAATCCTTCTAGAGAAAAGGATGCAAGTTCGTGGTGCCCCAAAGGCATAATTTAAGATTTGAAGAAATGTCACCTGCTAGTTTCTGGTGCTGAATCCTTGTCCTGACCCATGCATCGAGACAATGAGCAACAAGTGGACAGTTATTTTAGAAATGGGTCCTTTAAAAATTTTCATTATTTTCATCTCTGTCTTACTACCAAGCCAAGAAGAAAATGGGTCTTGGAGATCAATAACCTCAAAGCCTCAAGGCAAATCTCCTCTTTATAAACTGTTGTTCACACAGTTCCATCTATAGTTTAAAGGATGTTAGTCTTTCAAAAACAGAGGCATTTTAATTTGACAAGGCCACTCTTTCAAATCCATTGTAACAACATTTTGTTCTGAGAAAACTGTACAAAGCAACTCTAAGCCACGTTCAAAATCCCCCTAATACACATAAGCATGAAAACTGAGTCTCCAAATGAAAAAAAAAAAGTGCACGGTAGTCAAATACTTTACACTGCGACCATGTGTAAGAACAACTAATGAAATTATACAGGAAGAGTGACTAAGCGTTACCTTTTTGGCTTTCATCACAAGGATCTAAAATTTCCTCATTTTTCCCTTCCCTTCCCCAAACACACACACAGATTACACACATCAGAACTTAGCATCAGGTCAGAACACGAACCACTAGTGAGGATCAGTGAGAGAAATCATGGTCCTGAAAAAACAGACACACAAAAAGTTACTTCATAGGCTTTCATGTTTATTGTGTAGTTGCAAACCTTTCTTGAACTGCAGGAACAGACTTCCTCTTAAACATCTTAGGTGCAAAAATTTGCCCCGAGATAAGAACAAACTCTGCTTTTTGTGCAGCACTGCCATGATAGTGGGAGAGAATCAGACTTGCCGCTGGATTCCCACAACCTTCTAATCAAGTCCTCAGTTGGATTTGTGCAAATGCAAAACAGCTAAACCAGGAAAACTCTGGTTCAGAGGGGATCATTTATTTTTCAGTACAAATGATAGAGAAAAATCACCCAGCTGGTGTCAGATCCTCAGGTGAGGTTAATAGGAAAAAAAAATCTTTTATGTATTTGTTGAGCATGTTTGAAGTAGAAGCAACTGTGACAACAAACAGAATGCCACAACGGCATTTTTAGAGCCATCTTTAAAATTGGACCCTAAAGCTCTGGCTCCTGCAGGTATTTTGCAGGGCCAAGTTCACAGGTCTCCACATGTTTTCACCTACACAGAAGTACTTGCGTTCCTGAAGAAACAGAGCCAGGAGCAGTAACCAGACTTGACGTTAGAAGCCATCATACTGCTTGGATCTAGAAGCTACATTTTTGTCTTAGAGCTGAGAAGTATGCGTCACTGAAGTATATTATCTGTTCAGCATAAAATCTACATATGCTATCCATAACAATATTAATTGTCACCACCTCAGCTCATCTTTGTTGGATTTCTAAAAAGTATTCTCAGAAATTTTTCAGGAAAGGGTGCTCTTGGGTTTGCTGTGTACTGGGTGAGCACATTTTATAGTTCCAGGAAGAGCCTGGCAACACGGGAACATTCATAAATACACTTCAGAGTACAGAAGGTTCAAGCAGAGAAATATAATTTGAAAGTGAATTTATTTCTCTGAACTGGCATGAAGGGAAAATTGTTACTGGTGAACTGCTGTACCTACAATCCTCAGGTGAACATTACTGAAGGTTTTATTTATTTTAAGTGTAGCAGGAACAGCTTTAATTTCCTTATAGAGATTCTACAGCACAAGGTAACACCTCCTTTGGGAAGTGAGTGCAGAAAGGACTCAAAATTTTGGCATGTTTGCTGAGATGGGTTGAATGAGTCAGTGCTTTGTAACGACATGCATTAATATGCACGGCCACTTTGTTTCATCAATAAAAAACTAAAGAACTTAAATGACTAAAGGCAGAAACAGCTTTCGTTATGCATACACATAAGTTTTAAATTCTCTGGTAGTTCCGCAGTCCTGGAAAAGGCTACTTTTAAATAAAATTATGTGGAAAAAATATACATAAGTACATTGTGCGCTTCAAGCAAAACCATATGCATAGTTCATGCTGATCAAATGTTTTCTATTATAATCTAGATCTTTCCCAGTCTGAGGGACACTTGCCCAGTGCTTCACTGAATGATACAGAGCATAACAAGGAGCCAGGTAAGACATTTTCTGGTGCACTGGGCATGAAGAGCAAGAACAGATCTGTGGAAACGAGAATTTTTAAGGCAGATTCTCAAGTGACCTGTACCAATTTACTAGAGTTGAGGATGAAGCCATCAGAGCCTTTGTTTTGAGGCATTTGGAGTGAAAAGAGAAATGCCAGTTTATGTTTACAAACAGCTTCATTCTTAGACCACTGCTCTGGTTCTTACCTGTTGCTTGTACCCTAGAGCCTTCATTCAAATATGGTATGAAATAACTGCTGATCAGGGCATGTTAGGACAAGTGATTTTGAACACTATCAACATTGCATCAAGCAAATAAAATTAGAACTTACTGATTTTTAGAAGTCTCAAATTAGTCAGAAAACGCTTATCTAGCTATGCTCCAGGACTGCTAGTACCACTTCTTGTTCTGCCATCACAAGTGATTAATAACACACCTTTTTCACTTCTTACACATACAAGCATTGGCTGGTATACTGTGGGGGGAGCCACCAAAACAAAAATGTTATTAGGTTATTCCTATTCAAAAACATAGCCTCACTACTTGTATAAGAAGAAATGTCTGAACAGCCCAGGTAAGCAAATCCCAAATCTCAATATTCTAACTGGAGCTAATACATTAAATAGGGGTCCCGTGTCCCGTTCTAAGTAAAAAAAAGGTAGAAAAGAGTCTTGGCCTCATCTCTGCCAAAAAAAATGGAATCAAACTACATATCTTCCACTTTGTTCCTTCCTTATAGGAGGGGCATCCTTCACATGTTGGTTTACCTTTCTATCTTAATGCACATCACTCATGCTTTCTAGAAGGTATGTTAGGAAAGTTTATAAACATCACTGTTGGATGGATAACCCAGGCTTACTTTCAATTCAGGAGAAGTTTTATCAAAATCTGGAATTTAGATTTGGTTCCAACCACAGCAAGATATGCAGTTTTGTTACTTTGAAACTGAAGTTGGTTATTTTTGGTTCTGCTCCTCAGAAGACTTCCGTAACTAACAACTCTGAGTCTATGTACTGGATGACACTGTTTATTCCTATATAACCTTGTTATCACACAAAGTCATATTCATGGTGGACAATACTGTCATGGATGATCACAGTCAGTTCAGTACAAGAACTATATACACTGAAAATCAGTGCAATACACTTGAACTGGGCACACTGGAGTTACTGCTCATGGAGCCCGGGGCTCTGAAAAAGCTGGATGCCTTTGGGACTTTGCTTTACAGGTAGAATTGCAGTAGTCCAGCATGAACACTAGAAATGCATCTACCTTTACAAACAGGTTTACAGTGGCTACAGCTAGGGAAAACACTTCTTGGCCAGCTTTGGATAACAACAAAGCTTTACCAACCTCAGCAGATGCCATGACAACTGGCTAGGCTCTGTAAGCCTTCAAAGGTGACAAGTGTCAACAAAATTCTTTTCAGAGCATCTTTAAGGATAATATTACACTAGCAATAAAAAAACAACTAAGGAAGACACTAAAGGTACTGAAAGAAGGATAGGATTTCCATTCTTCAGAAGGTACATCCCCTGTTGTCTATTCCCCATCATAAGGCGTGATGGGAGATCCCTATCAGCTCCATAACTTCAGACTTTTTTTTTCTTAGTATACAAAGGACTAATATTTCAGATGGAAAATAATGGCAGACACTATACAACTAACTCACTGAACTCACTGAAAAGTACAGCACTTTTAAAGACCCATACAAAAGCACCAATGAAACTCATTGCTCAGTGTTTGTTGTAGTAAACAGGTATACAAAGATCACTGCCAGATCATTCCTGTGTATAGATAAACCTTTAGTCAAAGTTACAAAGTTCCCACAAGGAAAAGCTTTGACCTTTTGGCTCCAACACAGCAAAAAAACTTCTGCAACATCTACACATACCTGCCTGCCTACATTAAACAACGTAGAAGGGACCTCCATGCAAACTGAACTGACTGCAAATACCTCTTCTGCCTAAGATATCAAGAACATGATCAAGATCAGAACAGGCACAGAAAACTAAGTGTATTTAATTGAAGCTGATGGCAGGGGGAGGAGGGAGGAAGGATGATTTGCCAAAAAGAAAAATGCAGATATGGCCAAGTTCCACCCCTGGGCATACCACACACTCGTTTCATGACACTGCACAAATCACTTCCCAACTTTTTGTCTCAGGATCTCCCATCAGCAGCCATCCATGAAGAGGGGATGATATGCCTACTACTACTCCTGTAAAATCAGCTGAAAATCTACAACTTAATTCTGTGAGGAATGCATATGACTTAAATACTCACTGCTGGAGCTTCCAGGAGTACTGAACTGGGAAGTTTCAAGGAACTTTCGAGGCGTAGACAAGTTAGTAACATCCATAAGAGGTACAGGAGCATCTTTCACAAGGGAGCTGTGTGAGGGGAAAGAATTAAAGCAAACAGTTTACTATTATTTACAAACTTAGTTCACAACAAATAATCCAGTTATTTCTTAAATTTGTAAGCCTAAGCAATACATATACATAACACACAGTTTTGATACAACAGGTTTACAAAACCTAACTTAAAGCACAAGTCTACAGATGAATACAAGTGGGTATGTATATATACATATTTGAGTGAAAAGGGAAAAAGCCAAAAAAGCGATGATGGGGGAACACTGTCATATCAAAGACAAACCTTGGTATCCCAGCCTCTCTGAATTTAACAGCAGTCTAGACTTGCCTGACTGGTCACCGCAACATGATCAGGCCACAGGCATGTTGGAGCTTGCCATAGCACGTGATTATCTCCCAGCCATTTACTTCCAGCACAATTAACTAGTGCTAGCATGATGATAAATCAACATGGAATTGTTAAGATCTTTCTGGAAAATGACATATTGAGGAGAAGAGATGCTCTCATTTCCATGGCTTCTGTCAACTACTTCATCCTTCAAGCTTTTCTAGTTCCCACTAGAAGCCTCCACCCTTTTTCCTCCCCTTCAAATTCCTGTTCTGTGCACACCTACATGCATTGCTCTCAAATGAACCTTCTTAGTCAGAAAGGAAAGACTTCCTACTGGTCACTTTCATAATAAATTCACATAGTATTATTTGCCAAAAATGCGTCATGCTGCCCCAGTTGCATAATGAAAAGCATGAAGCTGGTTGTGGCAGGGGATGCAAGCAAGAAATCATTTTTAAAAGAAGTAGAGAAGGCTCCTATAATGGACTTCTGCATGTTCCCTTAGAGGTCAAAATGCTTATAGAAACCTGCTAAGACAAGGGCTAAGCTTACTATCCTGCATAAGACCATCTATACTCCCTGTACACCTACAATACCATACTTACAGGGATTAGCTATGCATTCCAGCTTAGCAGTGTTAGATGGAACACACTTAAAACCAATACGAGAAATTATTATAAACATTATTGCATCCCAGTCAACAGCCAGTCCAGAGCACCACACTAAAACAAAGCAACAAGACTGTCCTTGATGCAAGAGTTCATGTTATCAAATATCAGTGATGTGCAACAGGGAACGTGAAAAAAGATAGAAAACAAGAAAAAGATAAGGGTCCCTGTAGCAGTTGTACAAAACTGCAGTTAATTAGCAGTCACATAGTCTGGGTACACCAAAGCTTTGTGTCTGTTTTTAATTAAGAAGATGAGTAAGGAAGAGACTGATGACTTGCTAGCAACCCTTCTTCCTAGAAATTTCAACTTCAATCAACCCTTTATTTCATAAATTCATTTAATGTAACTTACTCTCTCTCTCCCCTTTTATTTTTGGTAAGCATTTTTTATTCCTTCTCATTATAAAATGCTAATTTACCTTTTCTCTGCACCTTTATCATACTCTGGCTCCCCTTTTGCTCCCTGCCCCTGTTTATTACCTCTCCCACTCTATAAAAGTTATCTTCCAATACCGTGTCTCTCTCTTCTAGCTACTATCTTTCTTCCTCCCCTCCCAACAACTCTATTGCCCTCAAACTTAGAATTCACAAAATTAGGAAAAAATAGCCAGGCACCTATACTTACGTTGAATTTCCACTGATCAGAGACACCAACCAGCTAAGAAGTTTCAACATCTTTAAAACACCTTAGAAACAACACAGCCAAGACACTGCTCAGGCACTTCAATATTGCAGCCTCGGGCTAGTAACCTAATGGTTAGAAGTTTTATTTTAAACCTCGGACATTTGCTAGAGAAGATGAGCAATTTTCCCCCCCTGTTCTTCCCTTTGCCTGACCTGAGCCTCATGATCATGACATTCGTAGGAAAGGTATATGCATCAGAGAAGCAAAAGAATGCTACAAGAAACTGACCTCCTCATAATTCTGTGGGAAGCAGCAAAAAGCCAACAGAATCACTAAGCAAACGTGAAAGAATGAGAACAGACTGTTCACAGGCTCAAAGGTGCATAAACATATTTGGAGTTTTTCAGCCATAAGCATGAGAAATTTGCTTGCCAAAAATTAAAGGTTGAGGTGTGAGTTGATGGCATTCTCCCAAGAAAGTCTCTACTTACGAAAGGGAGAATGTTGTCCTCTTCCCTCCCAGACCTGTTGCCCTCAGTTAGCATCACACCAAACCCACCTTATTCTCCCTTTCTCCTTGTTGCGTTGTCCTACTCGGTTAGTTGACTTGATGTAAAGATGACGGTGTAATTCGTCTATCAGGACTAAGTGCATGTTCATCTTCTTACTGTGGAGCTCCAGCCTCAGATCACTCAATCCCTCCACCTGAAGAAGGGGACCTTCCAAGGAGTCCACCGCTGACACCTGGAAGGAGAACACGTGACAGCTTTTAAAGGTCAATTCATTCATCTCTCAGGATTTTTCTCTTTCATTAGGGGAGTGTCTGAATACCATGATGATTCTATCCATAAACCCTTTTAAAGGGGAAAATATTTAAGTAGTATTTCTTTATTTCTATTCCTAAAAGAAAATGCAATATATAAAAAGGGTCCAATATCTGAACAACTCAAATTTAATGAGCAGTCTTCAACTATTTTGAGCATACGTATAAACCAAGTTAGTTAAAACACAGTTCATTAAATAAAAATCAAAGCACAGTTTATCACAAAATAAGAGGATTATTAAGTAGAAAAGTGTTAGAAAAAGATACTGACAATGATGTTTGATTGTCTTAATTCTTTTAATTACAGAAACACCAACAACACATTATTCCCAATTCTACAAGTGGGGAGCAAACAGCTTAAATTTTGTTTGCCTAAAGTGATGTCATGACATAGCTAAAAAAGCTTAGGAGACTTCATCTTCTAGCCTACGTAGCTGCTCTGTCATGTAACTACACAATTTAAATGAACATAGCCATCAGATTAATGAAAACTATTGTTAGTGCAAAGGTACTTTTGAACTCTACAGAGTGTGGGGTTTTTTTAATGCTTGATTATTAAGGCTCAAATTAAGGAAAATAACTTTATACAAAGCAACGGAGGAACAGACAGGGATCTAGACATGCAAGAACGTAAACAGGCCATAGGTAACATTTCTCTGCCAATGCTCTTCAATAGTGACCAGCTGACATCCAGCAGGCACTAGACTGAGGAACCCAATCGCCATTTATAGCCTAAAACCAAATGTGGACAAAAGCCACCAGGAATGACAAATCAGTGCACAAAAGCAACGCTACCAATTTGCATCTCTCCCAATTTACTTGTTTTCCTAACTGTTTAACAGAGCACTTCCACAGTTACTAAAAAAAAAAAAGGGGGCATCCCTCTGCAGTTTCCATAGTCTCAGTGCTGATGTTGTAAGAAACTAGACATAGCATGTTTTGCATACAGAAATTTAAAATTAATAAAAAAAACCCAAATCATTCCCTAATAACTGAAGATACTATTAGCGAAATAAGACACTTCCTTGCACTTCAGGATTTCAGTTTATAGCAAACCCGCTAAACATTAAAAATGAAAAGCAAAGAGATACAGTAAGTAGACAGCCAAGCTAAGGTCTGGTCCCTTAATACCAGTAAATATTAACTATACTGAAAGAACATCTACCAACAATGTATTACTTTGCCTCCAACTCAAGAATGACCCTGAGATAGCTTTAGGGCAGCGAGGCTTTTTAAATTAAGAGCAGTTTCTAAGAGGAAGCTGCACTTTTTTCCTTCCTCCTGAAATGTTTTGCCATGAAGTCCCTAACTATGAAATTCTTTTCTCTGCATGGGTGATGAGAGCCTGCAGTTGCTGCCAGTTTTTAGGCTAGGGCTCAGTCTTGAGAAAGAATTTGTCACAGTATTAATCACAGAGGACTGAACAGGCTCCTCCTAAGCCCACCAACACTGCAACTTCAACAGCATTTACGGGGTTCCTGTCACTTGACACAAAGCACTATTCCATCCTCTTTCTTCCCACTATCTATTTGTGAACAGTTACGGAAGTTTGGCCATAACACATCACAAAGCCACGCCACAGATGAAGCAAAAAACCAAATTTGCTTCTCCCCAAAGAGCTGACGTGCCAGAGTACGTACAAAGAGAGAAGGCTCAGCAGGCATGCAGACACAGCTTAGAAACCTTTGGCAGAAGCATAAGTGCTAATTTTTATCTTCTTCCTTTGGCTGGTAGAGATGTACCCCAAATTTCCCAATTCCAAAGGCGCTTTAATCCCCCCAGTCACTTCAGGGGAGTTACAGGCATTCATCACTGCCCTGAAAGCTGTCAGCAATTTCACCAAAGCAAGAACAAGATCAGGAACAACATTTGTCAAACTGAGAAGCTGAGAGATGAAAATGCAGTGAGGGAAGAACTGAAAGCAAGCAGGAAAATGACATTAGAAAGGTTCCGAGGCATCCAGGAAAAGTATTACCTAAAACACAAGCAACAAGAATTTAAAGCTTTCATCTCAGATCATTTGGTTCTATTTTTATCTTCCCAGTTCCTAAAAAGTTATTCTCAAAACTAATTAAGACCAACACACAGCTCTCCAACGTGTCTCTTGAGAAACAAATAGAACAGCCAATCGTTTATTGTACTTAAAAACAAAAAAAGAAAACCCCACACAACAACCCCCAAACCCCCGTGCTGTTATGCACTGAACTTTCTTCTTCTGGAAAAAGCTGCTTTTCTTTTTGGCGGGGTTTGTCCGGTGGTTTTTTTGATGGCCTTTCTGACACTTCATATTTGCAGTCAGACAAGCTGGAATTTACATCCTTGATAAATGCCACTTTCCCAGTGATTGAACTCTTCAGGTAAATAACACAGGCAAGTTCCAACATTACGCACACTTGGAGCCTTTTAACTTAAAGCACTTAAGGCAGCCCCGCTCCAGTAAAGCCTCACTTAACTACTGTTTGCTTTTCTGATATTTCATTTCCCATTACCACCAATTATCAAGACAGAGCGCAAGAGAAAAGCTTTCATGTTCAGAACAGTTTGGGTCTAGAAAGTAGCTAGGGGCTCAGTCCAAGTTGATGGAAGTCAAGGTGAAGTCTCCAATCGGTTTAGGTAGAAACAAGTATAGACATTATGTTAAAAAAGAAACCAAAAATTTTCCCTTCTGTAGTTTTACTTACAGAAAGATGATTTAAGCCCCGGCAACAAGCAAGCTATGAAGCAGCACCCTAGATTACATCTCAGAATACAAAATATGAGATTAAAACATTCATCTAATTTGTGTGCTCGATAACACACCACAGAACAGTAGCATAAGCAACTAAAATAATGCAAAGATGTCTACAAAGAATGCACAACATTAAAAATACACTACAGATAGATCTAACAATAGAGCTGTTAGAAGAAAAACCTTGACAAGCTTGTGTTTCACCCTACTATCCTGGGAAAGATCAGTCCTTAAAACTCATTTTCAGCAAATAACCACACTGTCATCACAAAGGCTTTGCTCTCCAGAAGCAGGGAGATTAAGAGCTACAGAGATGGATGGAGAAGGGGAAGCAGAAAGTGAATAGGAAGAGCAGTAATAATGACAACAGCTCTGTCGACTACTCGGAAACACAAGCACAAGTAGTTTACAATTGGCTTTATTTAAAATCCAAGTATCCATCTGGGCCATGTTAACAACATGGTCAACTATCTTGAGAAACAGTAAGGTTACAAGGGGACTTGGAAAATCACCACAGTGTGTCAGCTGAGAACACAGCCAACGCCACGTGCGGCCAAGAAAAATAGGGTGATTGCTGAGAGCAAGGCTAGAAAAAAATAAGACTTTTTTAATTGAATTCACAACAGGGACTATGTCTATCATTGGCAAAGTTTAGATCAAGACCAGAATTTTATGCCCCCACTCAGCTAGTAACACACCATCACTTGTATTATGCAAGAGACCCAAAATGTATGATAAAAATACGTTCAACTTTGAAGATCATAGAGATTTATTTACTGTTGTGTCATCACCTCATCACTCAACTTGGGTGTATCATTTCAACTAGTTGTTCTTAACCTTTTCTCATTTCAAACCCTGATATGCAAAAGGAGCTAGATGAGTGGGAGACAGGCTGCACAAAGCAGTAACAGGTCAGAGTACAACACAAATACTACTCTGCAAGAAAGTATTGCTGTTCCTCAAGTTAGCAGTGATTCCTCCAGTTACAGAACCTTAATTTAAGAGGAAAAACCCCTTATTTTTGGATTTCTATTTTTTATTGTGGATGCTGCTCCTCTACTTATGGTATAAAGATCAAGAAAAATATGCATTCTAGAAAGAAACCTAAGCGTTGGGGGTTGAATGTATTTATATTGCTAGCACCATTCCCAAACATCATAATCTTTTCACATTCTAAAAGGCAACTGTCTCCCTCCATTTTGAATGCTAAACTTAAAAAAAAAAATAGGGATTTTGTATTTAAATTGTATCTATTATTTTTCCACTCATTTATTACAAAGTTATCTGGAGTCCTCAGACAGAAGCCCTTCACTTCTAATTATTTGTATCATTTATTAGGATTTTAATTTTATTACTTTGAACAATTAAGAATAGAAAAACCTTACAAGCTAAAACATTTCCATATCGGTTTTAATATTTTCAGTATGTTATAGCCAGTTTGGGATTTTTTTCAGTTCACCAGCAGTGTTTTGAACACTCACTTCAGAAGCAGCAGTGCTGGGAAATTAGACAACTCTACATTTAGAGAAGTTGTGTAAGCCATCCTCTTGCCCACTGCTAGAACGACCCAGCTTCCCTGGTTGCTATCTTCCACCACATTCATCTCGACTTTACAGAGCTCATTGTACATCAAAATTAAAAGGCATTTGAGCCATCCAATATGCACTTGCCATTAAGGACAGCGGTGAGGCCAAAGGCTATCCACACCTACCAAAGAGCGATCTCAAATGCGCAACTGCGCAATCCCCGTATACTAGGATGAGAAATAAGTGTGGTAGCTCAGAAGCATGCCACGGTCACTGAATAAACACCGATGTGTAACAACAGCAAGCACAGACTTCAGCATTTTCTGTCAGAGCAAGTCAAAGAATTCTGGAAGTCAGGAATCGGTATTCATAGCACTGCTAGAATAACAGAGCGATCCAGCTTGGAAGGGACCTCCCGAGGTTTCCAGTCCAACAGCCTGCTCAAAGCAGGGCTAACTCAATGTTAGATCAGGCTGCTCAGGCCTCCAGTCAAGGTTCAAAAATCTGCAAGCGTGGAGGTTCACAGTCTCTCTGGTCTCTTGCTCCTGGTGTTTACCCCTTCTCATGGGGAAGAACTTTCTCCTTATGTCCAGCCAGCTTCTCCCACAGAAATTGTTGATGGTTGCCTCTCGTTTGTTCCCTGTGCACTTCTGAGAGGAGCCTGGCT